TGTTCAAGACATCACCGTTAATTGCCAATCGCCTATGCTTAAAAAATACAGATCTCTGTCCTAATTGTACTCGCGTCGTAACGAGGCGTATGGAGAGTATCGCGCGGCGGAATGGCAGGTGCGTTCGTCGGATAACGCTTTATCAAAGACGTTTTCCTCTAGCCGAATGTAAGTACCGTTTCGATCGACTGACCGTTGTACCGTGGCTGTCGGATCGCGAAGAAACATATTTTCCCATAAAATTAATTAAGTCGACTCGACCCACGTTGTAAATAATCATTCTGCTCGGTGCGTTGAATTTATCCTGGAACGTGCTCGCACGGTTGCCGTTTGTGAACGGTCGACGCGTGTACGCGAACATGGCTCACGGGTCCGAAAAAAATATGAATTTGCTCGCGAGCGGTCTTGATCGCATCTTCGCGGGTTAAAGCGAGGACGCGAAGCGAAAAGAAGATAGGGAAAGAGGTCGCGAAATTATCGCGGACGAATCGGCGGAAGGATTAAGCGAGCGGTAATTCCTGGATTTATTATCCTTGCGAAATTTAAAATAGATCGCCGACGACGACGCCCGGACAAAAATACTTTCCTTCGTGGCTCGAGTCGCTTCATTTATTTTCTCCCCGGTGACTCGCGTCGCCAGATAATCGTTTCTTCTTCGTTCCTTCACCTTTTTTTCTCCACGTTTTTTGTCGGGTCCGTCTCCACCTGTCGCGTGTTTCAGCGAAACATCGCGGGTTTATCCTCGAGACGTTCTTCCGGGCAGCGATAAAGCACCGTTTTCTGGCGCGTACGCAATTTTATCAGACTCGCGATCGCGACAAATTCGCGACCGCCGGAGAAAACGAGTTTCAGACGATACCCTCGCCACGCGTTCCGTTCGTTCACCTAGGAATCCTTTTTTTCTATTTATTTAGTTTAACATTGTTTATCGAAGCGCTGGTTCTCTCGTCTGTAGATATACGTGATACGTATACTCGAAGAACAAAGTCTACGATTGCAGTTGCGGGGTCAGTATCTGGTTGGTAATTTATCGCTCCTGATACGTACAAATTGTGCCTGTCCATCTTGCTGCAGATGAAATATCGACGGACCCATGATTAATTGAATTTTTAGCAGGGACAGTTGTTTTGCTCGGACAGAAAAAGGTGTACGTACGGACGTATCAACCGATTGCACTCCAATTTTCGTGACGAAACCGATTCGATTCAGGATTTTTGTTCTCATCCTGTTTTTCTGTATCTCTCCTGGAATAATGATTGATGGTCTTGTAATTATTTATAATGGAGATTTCTTACGGTCAGCTGTATTTAACGAAAAACTTGTTTGTTTTTTCGATCTTTTTTATTCCTGTCAGTTCTTGCCAATTTTCTGACGGATATCACAAAAATGAGAAGCTATAAAATTTTTTCATTTATGATTATCATATTAAATATTATTTGAATTATTCTAATAATTTGCAAACATTATCTATATGAGAAACGTCCCAGTTTCCAATGTTTCCGTGGTCAAATGCAGGCGACAACAAGTCTACCACATTGTAATAAATATAGACGAATGGTAGCTGAGATCACGGATACATCTGCGAGCAGCAATTTGGTCTCGTTGAAGATGCTTTGATCTATTCCTGGTAGGCGAACCACTTGGTCCACCTGCAGAATATACGAAACCGTTTCCGATTCTCCGTAGGCTAGATTTTAGACGATCGTGAATCATCGTTTGTCGCCCTAAAGCGAGGTGAAGGGAACCATAAATGCGTGACTATATTCGTTCACTCAGAGCTACTGAAATTGATAACAGGATGAGCACTATGGGCTATAAAAATGAGTTAAACGTAAATAAATATTCTGAACGATAGTGTACTTGAGAAAAGCTCTGCGTTAACAAGCGATAAAAAGCTGTCGTGTAACCGTAAAGGTGGATTTACTTGAACGCGACAGTTCGTGAAGGTGAGCGGAAGTGGCCCACTTCCGAAACGGCGTGTAATTTTTTATGCAAAGCTGGTGATCGCTCGTTTCAGCTCGAAAACTGTAATTTGTAGCGGTCGTTGTTAGCTGCGCGACTGGGTGCAAGGATGCAATGATCGCAAGGTGGCCCTAGACGGGGCGATAATTACCTCGTCGGAGGCTTCCTTTTCCTCGGTTCACCGGCGTAATTCTGCACGACGAATCGCTAACGAGTCTGCCCTCTTATCTGATCGAGAAGATCAGAAAAGCGTTTGCGAGAAGAGTCGGGAATCACTTGGCAAACTGTATTCTTCATTTTGTCTCTTCTGATAGTGATCCCTGTTGTTCTTGCTAAACGGTTAATGATTATTTCTTTCCTTGTTTGATAAAATAATTATATTGCTCTCCTCAATTCAATTGTCAAAACAAAATTCTTCACTTTTAGCTAGCCTAATTCTTAATAATTAACATTTCCTTATACAACAAAAGGGGATCAACTAATATTTTACCTTCCACTCTTAAATCTGTAGGTACTGAATCAGTTACTATTATTATCCCATGATGAATCGCAATTTAATATATCCACGTTCCCTACAAGGAAGTAGCCCAAAAAAGGAAAGATTCGCTTAAAAAAGAATAAGCAGTATACTTATCGACGTTAATGACTATCACATCCTTCAGCGAATTGACTAACGACCAGAAAGACCGTATATTCCTTATTCGTCGAAGAGATTCAAGAGGAAGGTGCAAGAAGTCGAGGAGTCATGGTACTTCTTTTCTCCAATATTTTCTCTGGAAACGGTAGAAGTTACCCATTAACATTGATCGATCCTTTAATTACGTTAAAACGTCTTGTCGCTATTGCGACGTATCAGTTTCCCGTTCTGGAACCTGTTCCGTTGCAAATGATCGAGCAAGCTGTATCTTCGCTGCAGCCAAGGTCGTTTTAGAACCGCCCCTTATGACATTTTGTATGCAGCTCGCGGAACAACAATAAATCGTTAGCCAGAAAATTATTAGCTTGTAGTTAATTAGCGGGTATCAAGGCCAGACGTTGCACCTGAAATACTGCTCTTGGTTTGTCCTTTCGTACATGCTTTATCGGGGTTTCATCGTGGCCAGGATACCTACCTGGATGTTACCATCCTTTTAACCAAGTATCTAACATGGATGAAACATGGTCCCGATTGATGAACTTGGAAGTGAATGGAACATGCGTAAATCTTTGGCTGGAAGAAAATGCATATTGGTTTATAAGTTATGAACGGAAATTGTTGTGGTATCATTAGATGATAGGAGTGGCTATGACTTGATAATAGCACATGCGATTATGATTATTTATAAAGTCAGAAAGTGAAAGATAAAATATGGAAATTCTAATTTCTTTATTCTATAAGGATCTAATAACCTGATGTAATATTTTATGCGTACACGTTTCTATAAAAATTTATGCTATTTTCTAATTCATTATCTATATTGTGATAATAATAGATAGAGTCTGTTAGAAATAAAAATATCCCCTAATATCACCGGTGACATTAAATAATACATTTTCCAATGACAAAGTTAGAGAAAGTACTTGAAATAAATCTACTATAAAAGAATCAAGCGCAATGTCAGTTGTCCAACTCTTTCGCAGTAAAAAGAAGCGTGATACTAAAACGGCCAAGGATACTCACGATCCCCTTGGCTATTCTCGCATGTCACCGATGCACGGCTCTCGACAGACGCTCTAACCAGAATGGTCAACTCCAATAATAGCAATGTAAGAAGAAACAGAATGAAAGAAAAAAGGAGAGAAAAAATCACTACAATTCTCTAATGGCGTCATTAAAGTACGGTGTACAAGTACGACGGTCTCGATTAAACGGTGAATTAAGGCTAGGATCGGTACGCTCGACTGGATAACACGACACTCCTCGCTATAGTTTCTTTGATCCTGGTGTCTGTTAGCTTTCTCAATAAAGAAACTCTGTACGCCTATGTCGATCGTCGTAACCCGTTTCGTTCGTGCTCGTATTTACAGCTACGCATATAAATCCGCGACCAACTTCCACTCGCGCCTCTATTTCTGTATCGTGGAAACACTTTACGACCGCCAGCTCAATTTGTTTTCCGTTCCGCTGCCGCTGTCGGAAAGAAAGAGGATCTCACGACGTCCAGCGTTATCCATTAACACGCTGCCTGTCACGGGTCACGAACGTAACGAATTTAAATTACTTTAATAATTAAATTAGTGAAGGGAAGAAGAGGACTTTGAATGCTATTAAAATTATGAATGGTTTCTTGGGGTCTCCTAGGAAAAAAAAAAAAAAAAATGCAATCCAATTTTCTGTAGGAATTTAATGATCGCTATAGTTAGGAATGATGATTGACAAGTTGTTAGGTAGTCGTAAGCAATGTTGTTATCGTTTATACTAATTTAAGCCTTATTAACAATTGTGAGTGGATGACGATGACAGATCTAGAGACAGGGATGTGGTGCGTGACAGTGATCGAGTCCGTGCAGGAAACAGCTTTCGATAGATATCGAGTGTTAGCGAAGTCAATAGGGCAAAACATGTCCTGTCCGCAGACAGAACAATAACCGATGTGCGTCCGTCTGTTCGTTCGCTGACCGGTGCTTCCTCCAATAGGATGCCTGCTGTCAGTGCGAGCAGCAGGTGCGACCGTGACTTGCCTTCTCCCCTGTCCACGTACGATAATTACGCTTACGCGTATCTACATGACTCTACGTGTCATTGCTCTATCCGCACGTGCTCTAACCTCGTCTAGGTGGAACCTTGCTGGCTAATCATGCATCAGGGCTCCGTGTTAATCCTTTCAGCAGGATTCATGGAAAACGACTATAGTCACCCTCAGACTGTAATTGTCTTAGTATTTTACGGAGAATGGATATAATCACCCATAATGACAAAAGGTTGATATCCAAGCACCACAATATTTAGCTAATTATTACTTGATATTCTAAAATATAAATTATATTTTCTGGTATAAATTATAAATTTCGATGCATTTATTAGCATTATACTAATTGTTTTTTATTTATGATTTCAGGTAAGCTTAGAAGATTATTTCAAAATGACCAAATGGACCAAATGGACCCATTCAGGGCGGTTTTCATCCATTTATTTCACCAAACATAGAAGTTGATTATGTGATGCTCACGTATGTTTTTCTCTCAATTTTTTTTTACATAATGCTATTCTTTATGTTTATATGTTTATAACTATTTTCATTTTACCGTAATAATAATTTTTTAATATCTCTGCATCTAACAGTACTTATTCTAAATTTGAAATCAGAGAATTGAGATAATGGTGAGAGTTTTATTTACAATTTAAATCCTGATATTTCTAAGCTAGATAAAATTTTTATCGTGTTATATACAGCAGTGCGGTTTCTATAATTTTAATTATGTAAATTACGTCGTTTAAAATCACATTAAGAGTAGTACGCAGCACTTACATGAATTAGATATAAAAAAAAGCAATTAACACCCTGTAAAAAGAAGATGCGCATACATTCTCAGAATGATTTCCACGGTTTCGTTGGTATTGTTTAATGGAACGGCAGTTCATAATGAACGAAAAATAATGATTATTTTACAAATATTTGGCATGATTTATTTACGTTTAATTCAACAATTAACGAATAGATAATTAACCGAAAGACTAACGGTAAAATTAATTAATAGTATTTATTTTCCTCATTTAATATTTTGGTTAATATCTTAAAACTGACATGTAACATCATTCCTAATTAGTGCTGTTGCATGATATTTATCAACGAAATATCTACGCAGTCATTTTCATTAAATTTTACGCTTCAAATTGATATCCCATAATTGATAAGTGGCATACCCTTCTTGCATTTGCAAAATCCTCATTAGATACGGACAACTTAATATTCACAATCTCGCAATAAAACTCGCGAAAAATCTAAGAAAATGCGTCGTTACAAGGTGGGGTAATTGATCGCGAGAAATTACCATTTACCAGCAAGTCGTTTAAACTGCTCCGCTAGTTTGAACGTTAAAAACCAAGAGGATAGTGGTACGCACTACCATTAATCATTCGCTCGCTTAAACATTCCGCTCGACAGGTATCGTCCGACGAGAATATTCTCGTCCGAATGCCTTCACGAAAAATCGCCGGTAGATCAATTTGTATACACGCGTGTGCTCGTTTGTACCGGTACAAGTGACAAACAAACGTATCGTTGCTGGCTTTCGCGGGCTATTTATGCGCGACACAGAAATACCGAAGGCACCCTTCTACTTTGTCGGAGCTAGGAATGGATTCAAGTGTACACCGAGTAGCGTTGTTACTATCTTAAAAGGTGCTCAAACTTTTTAATAAATATTTGGTAAATATTAATATTAAAATTAATTCATATTAAATTCTGAGCCTGTAGATATTTAATTTTTTAGAAATTCGTACTAAATTTTATATAGATTCGGGTTTTGAAATTGGTTTAAATTTGCGAGTAACATATTGAAGTTGATCCCATTCCTATGGGTAGCACGCGCGAGCAATCCGCTCCCAGCCTTCGTCACGCTAATTATTTTCGTCTCGATCCGCGCCTACCAGCGCAATCTCCAAGTGGTTGATTTCTTTTCCATACATCTCCTAATGAACCGTGGAATAATTTACGGGAATGATTTATAGCTGGCCTCGTTTAAGCAGTTTAGACGCTCGTGTCACGTGGCGAAATTAATACTTACCCGTCCTCTAGGGGGAACCGAATGATACTCGAAGCAGCAGAAATTATTAATTACGCATGTGTATGTGAGCAAAGAATGACAAGTAACTGAGAATCGGAGAAGAACGAGGATAGAGAGATTGAACATCTTCGTTTGGGCGTTGGGGCGGACAGAGTTATTCGCAATGGTATGCATATATCATTTATGCATGACACGCAGACACAGTTGCATGCGTGCATGCGTCTGTGTGACTGCGAATGCATCCATTCCCATATGCAACTCAGGGCATACTGTCGTTCGAAAGTATTTGTTTATCGTTGAAGAAACATCAAGTGGAAGATAATTATTCATTCGTTATATTAATGTCATAATGCAAAATTAAGTTCAAAATTATTTTATTTTCTACATGATGATCCTTATTAGGTTTCTGCATATTCAATGGGTTGATTTCACCTAGTATAGATGGGCAAATACTTGTGTATAATATTGTATATCTTATTATGGTCACTCCTCCGTGGAGCTTGAACACTGTTTTTCCTTTCATTTTGCTCTCATTCCATATATTTCACCTTACTTTGCATATTAAGCAAGCGGATCTGCTAAATACGTTAAAACGAGCGGTTAAGTAGCCACGCGGCTAGCTAGCGATTTATATTCCATGATAATAGCGTACGAACGATTTTATCTTATTCAACTAATATATTACAGATTTACAATTATGGCAATGATTCTGAAATCTGAAATACCTGTTTATAGATATTCAATAACTGTCATGAGATCGTTTAGAAAGTAACTCGCTAATTAAATTCAAGATATGTAATTTTGCAATTGATTATTATAAACAGTTTTTTAAAACATGTTTTCTGTATAATGATACGTACAATTTCCATAATGACACCACATTTAATTATCAATTTTTTAAAATTGAAGTATTTATGATTAATCAAGTTATTCATAAACCTTTTCAAACTATAATATATATATATAATTTGTATAAATAGAATACGACAGTCAATTTCATATTCTTTTGCAGTAAACATAAAATATATATGTAGTATTGAGTATCTGTCTCTGTCTTTCATTTGAAAGAAAATGACTCGAACATTTTACAAATCATTAGTGTATCCTGTTCTGTTTGGGTCAGAAAAAAAATAACATACAATTACCAGTAATGATAGGAAGAAAACCCCAAGTTTCTTTAAATTGAAATTAATGAATAGCACTTTCTTTCCTGTCATTGGGAGAACTTTGGACTAATGGATAAGGTGATTCCACCCCAATGATTAGTTTTAAAAGTATTCGTGTTTAAAACTGTATCTTCATTGAGAAAACTTGGGGACTGCTCTGTTTGAATATTTATTAGAATTTTATGAATTTTTGGAAGGCGTCATCGCGAGAGGACTCCTCGAACAAAATGATTCCGGTTCGGATTTACGCGTGGTTTGCGCGGAAACACGCGTCCCTTATCTTCTTTAATTCATTAATCCGCCGCGGTCTCTCCATTACGAACTCCCGCAAAGCCTCCATTAGTGCGTATATTCACGTCAGTCTTTACACCGCATTTACAAGTCACGACACGCGGGGTTAACGTTATGCAACGACCCGGCTGCTATCTACTTGAATACGTATATGTCGGTGCGCGTACCGCACTAATTCTCACACTAATTCTCGCACTAATTTACCCATGATCCGGATACGCATTCGCATGCATCAAACCGTACACTACGCATTCACCAACACGTTCGAATACAATACGTGTGCGTACGTATGCGTCGATGTACGTGGATCGTATGTGGAGAAGATGATTTTGATCTGGCTATGAGGTTGATGATTTAGTAGAACAAATATAAATTCTAAGTCCTAGGTACATTGATGAAACGTTGCATATTAGGGTTCCACAGGGAAAATGACGATATAGGGGTTGCAAATTTTAATTTTAACGATAGTAAAAAGAAACATCGAAAATATGTATAATTCAGTTAGTACATTATGCAGAGAGCAATTTCTCCAAATCTTCCACATGAACCACACAATGACCATTAGTCAACTGACGTTTCCCTCCAAGCAATCCTTGATGTCTCTCGAGCGACCTGGAATTGCGCAAAACCTCGGCCATCAACATTCATAAATTTGTTCCTTAATTTATCAACGGGGCAGCTCGGAGCGTCCAAGTCGCATAGAAATTATTCATCGATGGTCTCACCCTCTATACCGCGGTTCTGCGTGTCATTTTCTATGCATGCAAACCCGTGTATTCGTTGCTGGGTAACTAGCAAACTAAAATCTGATTCAGACCATGGCCACGACACTCTCAAACTCTGGGTGAAGTTAAAATTGTCGAAACGAATGAGGACATTCAGGCTGACGAGAATGCTATGCGAGAATGCACGAAAAATGAAATAAAATGGAATACAAAGGATGAAGGAGTAAAAAATGGTTCATATTGCGCAGAAATTTTAATGTAAACGTCTCTGTTTCGAGTAATTTTTATGTTTTCCATAAATCAACAATTATTATCTCAGAGGGTTCTTAGTAAATTTCAATAAAATATCGTCAATCAAATAACATTCATCGAGGCGATTACCAACGATGGATCCGCTCAATTTCCGGTTTCCTTCTTGGTGACGTCCGGCGATGCCCGAAATTGCATTCCCTTCGAAGACGTTGTCGAACGGACTCGCGTCCATGCCGGGGTGTACAATTTCCGTTCTACTTCCGGAAATGGACCCATTGTCCAACGTAATCGGAACACAACAATATCGTGTATGATGCGTATCTCTGTGAGCTAATGTGCGTACAGGTACACTGTTTCGTCATTGAGATATTGAATTATTATGAAAATAATAAATAAAAAATGAAAATGCTATTTTAGCATGAAAGCGTTAAAATTTTTCTATTATAATATTTCTTAGCAGTCAAGGTGTTAAAGTTATTTATAATTCCACAATTAGCAATTCATAGAGCAAACAGCTTCCGGTCAAACAGCATCGAAAAGCAAACACAATACCCGGTTCCATCATTATCACAATATTCTCGAGGAGACAGGAAAGAGGTGTTCGCTAAGAAAGCGTATCTTGTTCGAAGCTCGTACGACATTAGCTCGCGGATGTAACGAGCTGTTAAACAGCGAGTTCTTTATTCTCACGGGAGCGACACACGAGGAATGCGAGGTTTTTTTCTCCATGGTAGACAAAGGACCGCCGACGTTGGCCAGCCTCGAAGTTTGCATAATTTATTCTCATAAACTCGGAAGCTTGCTCGTGTGGCCTTTTAAACGAAATAAAGACATCGCCGGTGTCTTTTCAGCCACGACCGTATGCACACGTTTCGTGTTCGCTCGCGTACGCGCATAAAGCTGCACGAGCATTGCCGCGTGCCATTTATTAGCAATTGTAATGAAACGCCTGTTGCAACGATAATTTAGAGTTTCTCTCGCAACACTGCTAGCCATTAACCTCTGCAG